GATGGGTCATATCCCTTCCAGCGTATCAGGAACTCGAGCGTATTGCCGCGTCTGCGTCAATGAGCAAGAACTTTTTCAACCTCGTACTCTGGTTCATCCTGTATGAGAACAGGTGGTGTTGGCGGTAGCTGGCGTCCGTGGAACTGTTGGTTGGGGTCCTTGTAGGGCGTTACTAGCTGAACATCGAAAGCGTTGTGAAGCTTCCACGTAGTAGGTAAGCGCAAGCGGAATGTTACTGGTGCCACCTGTGCCTCAACGCGAAAAGGACCACAGAAGCAAGGCTGGAGCTTGGATGGTAGGTGAGACAGGTTCAAGTTGCGCGTGTCAAGAAGCACCTGATCTCCGACTGCTACTGTGTAGTTACGTCGCTGACGATCGGCATACTGCTTCTGGGATTTCTGCATCATGGTGAGACGTCGCCGAGTCTTCTCCCTTGGATCCTGCATGGTGGTGGCGAAGTCATGTGCGGCTTGGACGTGTGCCGGTGTGGTTGGCTGCTATGGTGTAAGTAGTTCTCGTCCGTAACACAGGAAGAAAGGAGTTTTCCCTGTGGCCGCATGTGACGCGTTGTTGTAAGCAAACTCTACGGTCGGTAACTGTGTGTCCCAGTGGCTGACATCGTCTTTGCAAGCTGTGCGCAGTAACTGTTCAACCACCTGATTGAGTCGCTCTGTCTGTCCATCAGTCTGGGGGTGGTATGCTGAAGACATTGCAAGCTTGTTCCCAACAGTCCCATGAGCTCCTTCCAGAACTTACCAGTGAACTTAAGGTCTCTGTCTGGATCCTGTAGGATGAGTACTGGCGCTGTAGTCAGTGCTGTCTGTAACTGCTCCATGGCTTGCTTTTGAGGAGCATCCCATTTATACGGCGTATCCTTTTTCAGTAGGTTGGTCAGTGGCGCTGCTATCTTAGCATACTGCAGCACGAACCTGCTTTAGTAGTTGGCGAAGCCTAGGAACTGCTGCAATTCCTTCACGCTGTCCGATACTTTACACTTTTTAACAGCTTCGATCTTCCGCGGGTCCACGTGTACGCCCTCGGCACTCACCATGTGCCCAAGAAACTGAACCTTCTTCAAGGCGAAGTCGCTCTTCGACAACTTCACGTAAAACTTGTTCTCCCGCAGGATCTCGAAGACTTTCCGCAGATGCTCCACATGCTTCTTCATGTTCTTGGAGTAGATGAGTATGTCGTCCAGGTACACCACTACGCACTCCTCCAGCAGGGGTCGTAGGAGCCGTATCTGGTACGGAACGCCGTCTTGTGGATCGAGTTGTTTGCCATCTTGATCTGCCAGTAGCCCGACCGTAGGTCCAGCTTTGAAAACACCGTTGCACCACGCAGTTGGTCTAGAAGATCGTCTATGCGCGGTATGGGGTATTTGTTCTTCACTGTTTGTTTGTTCAGTGCACGGTAGTCGATGCACATCCGTAAACTGCCGTCTGGCTTTGGAATGAAGAGGAATGGTGCACCGTAGGGAGAGGTGGATGGGCGGATCAGTTGTCTGTCAAGTAGATACTCTATCTGCTTCTTCATGTCTTTCAGTTCGGTCGGACTAAGGCGGTATGGTGCACGTGAGACGGGTTTCGCACCTGGTTCCTCCACGATCTCGTGCTCGTGGGTGCGTGCTGGAGGTACGCCTGCAGGTAGGTCGTCGGGCATTGTATCATTGTACTGCTCCAAGACCTCCTTCACTGCTACAAGTAGCTCTGTATTCGGCTTTTCTTCCTCTGCTGCTGCCATAACCAGTGCTAAGTAACTCGTGTTACTCTCGTTCACTGTCCGTTTGAACCGTGCCAGTGTCGTTTCACGAACATCTTCTGTATCCGTTCAGCTTCGCAGCTCCACTCGATTCCCATTGTTGTAGATGCATGCCTTCCGGTTGACCCGATCGATCTCGGGGTTGAACCGCTTCAGAAAATCACGCCCCAATATGAAATCCAATCCCTTGATGTTCGTGATCGGCAACGTCGGCTTCCACCTCAACGCTCCTATCTGCAGCTGCAGTGTTGACTCGCCGTGGATGGGAAGCTTCGTACCGTCCATCCTCGTTGCTGTAAACTGGGTCTCCTCCGATGACTCTCCAATTTTCTCCAACGTCCCGCGGTCGCACACCGAGTGGGACGCACCATTGTCCACCAGGGCCTGGAGCCGACGCCCGTTGCAGATCACCTCGGATTCTAGTGGTTGCTGCTGCTCCGAGTAGCCGTAGATGGTATCGCTTATAGGATCGTAGGGTACGTCGAATATGTCATCCCTAGGTTCTGCGCTCAAAGATGCAGCTTCAATATCAGTTTTCAACTGAGAAATGTTAGAAGGATATATCCGAGACCGATTCAGCTTCTCTTGGGCCTGGAACCTTCCCCTAAGCCTTTACAGCTGTGTAGGCTTCATCTGTGGGGAACAGGGAGCCTTTAAACAGTGCTGCTGGGAGAGAATATTAACTCCTCGGAACGCTAGACCCTTATAAGCGCTCCGGAGTAGGGTCCCCATATTACCCGGTACCGGTTTAATTTCTAACTCTCCCTTAATAAAGGATTGAAACCCACGATAAGTAGTATTCTTACTTGTCGGGGTGTACGGCTGGAGTTTCCCAGTCGGTGCAGGGTCTTGTTTCGCGGAGTCTCCATTTGTCTCGGCGATTTCCCCTGGTGCCGGCTGGTCGTGACGTTTTAAACTCGCGCCATCATATTCTCCTTTTTTCGCCCTCTCCGAAGTTGCCACATTGTCCGTTTTCTGCTTCGGGGGTGCCGCACTGTTCTTGTCCCTCAGCTCCGCACGTCTTTTCTTCATTTTCCAACACGCCAAGATACGATGTCCTGTAGCGCCACAAAATCCGCACGTCTCATTTTTTGCTAGCCGCTGCTCCACATCGCACTTGTCGTTCTCCATCGGGTCGGCGGTCGTAGGTGGTGCCAATCGCCCCATGCCACTATTTGGCTTGTTGCGTCGTGTTCCATAGTAGCTACTGTTCAACTCGTTGAACTGTTCGATTAGTGTTGCACGAAACTGCGCCCACGTCCCTTCGCCTTGGACTATACTTTTGTTGATCCACTCTAGAGCTGGGCCTCGTAACAGTGTTGCTGCGAGTCGTATGCGCATTGAGTCTTGGTTGAGGGTCGTACATCCAACGGCTTCGAAGAGATTTTCTAGTACAGCTACAAATCGACAGACGTCGCTCCCTTTCGCGCTAGGATCGAACGCCTCTGGTTGCCTCGGCTTCACTGCTTCGAGACTAACTATAGCTGCTGCCATTGTCGTAGATAAATTTGTCGGTGTCGTCGCCGTCACTGCTGCTGCTGCTACGGCTACCGATCGGTTCGCAAGGAGTTTTTCGAGTCGTGGGAGCGCTGCACGTATCCGCTTATGCTCAGCACGTAACTCCGCGATTTTCTGTACTGAAATATCTCTGTTTCCCTCCATTTGGCGATTTACAGGAAGATGCGCGACGAAAATAGTCGAGTTATAGGTGCTGGTCGACTTACTGCGAGTCGAGTTGACTGTAAAATCGACGAGCGCGAATTCTGTAGGTTGCGTAAATCTCCCTTAGTCAAAATTCGCGTTCGATCTCGGCCGTTGAGAAAAAACTCGATCCGACGCTCCAAATTCCAATGTTTTTGGGCGAAATTCTCTGGGCCGTTGAGATGAAACTCGATCGAACGGTCGAAACTCCATCCTTTTCACCAGTAAATCTGAGGGGTATTCGAAAACCGAATCGAGGGGGACTTAGCGACGTCGCCAGCGCCCCCACCAACGCCACCCCGCTCCCCGCCTCCCCACCTGCTGCCGCACCCTATTGCAGTGGACGTTGCAGGGGGAAGTTGGCGGGGCTGGAGGCCGTGAAAATGGGGGTGGTGAAGCCCCCTTAGCCGCCTTGCCAAACCTCTCTTCCTCCTACTCACGCCTGCAGAGTTCGCCGCAGATGCACCCGTACTTGCTGCGCCTACCGCTGTGGGGCGGGGGGTGGTTGAAGGGGTGGCTGAGTTGCATTTGCAGCGCCAGCCGCCTTCCACTCCAATTTGCTCTTCCTTCCGCTGCCGTTGGGAGGGGGTGGGGTGAGAGGGTGGTAGGAGTAAAGTTTCAGCACCAGCCCCTACTCCTCCTCTATCTCCCTTCTCTTTTGTTTCTCACTTTGCCTCCCGTTCCGCCCGTCTCTCTTATGTCGTACCGTTCAGTGGCACGTGCTGCTGCCACCCCTGTCGCCACTTGCACCTGCTGCTGCTGCATGCTACAGGCTCGCCCCCAGAGGTGCTGAACCGTGCTGTCCAGCTGCTCGTTGCATCCACAGCGCCTGCTCTCTCACCCACCTGATGTCGCCAGCACCCGCCGCTGATGCATCTGCCGTGGGTTAGGTTCTGCAGCTCCATCTGCCATCACTGCCTGCCACTGCTCCTGTCTGCTGCTGCTCTCTCCTGGCTCGCCCCCGGAGGTGCTGAGCCGTGCTTTCCTACTGCTTGTTGCAGCCACAGTGCCTTCTCTCTTGCCCACCTGCTTTCGCCTGCACACACCGCTGCTGCATCTGCTGTGGCTAAGGTTTGCACTCTGTCTGGTGTATCCCCTCAGGGGGTGTATTATGCACGTGATTTCTATTGTGGGCAGTTAGGGGGTGTGTTGAAATATGTATGTACACATTTTATATAATTGCCTACAGAAGTGTAGTATATATTAAATTGGTGGTGCACCTTCCTTGTTCATGACTATTTGTATTGTCGCTCCATACTGAAACCCTCTTCTTCCATCAATTCTACTCTCGATACCTCTCTCCTCACTCACGTTACTCTAGCTATGGCTCCCATCATTAGCTCCCAGTGTGTCAAAGTACACATACATGTTTTTGTATGTGAACTTGTAGGCTTGCCTAGAGTTGCACCATAGAGGGTATGACATTGAATATACCCCCACTGTATGCCTCATTATACTCATTCATTCTCTTTGACAATGTCAAGCAAGACCTTCCTATAGTGTAAAAGAAAAGAAGGTGTGTAAAATGAGCAAAGTAGCTAGTTAACTGTCACAAACAGCACGGCAGTCCCTTGACCCCCCAAAACAATCAGGAGCCTGGAATGATGCATATGATGCAACAGTGTCGCATACTCCAAGTACAACTCAACCACGATAACCCCATCCCAATCCAAGACTGGGTGTTCGGTGATGAAGCTGCCGCTATCCGCAATCATTTGAAGTTGTGTCTCTAGACTGTCCTCACCCGCAACAACATCCTTCATCTCCTGGACTTGCGCATCCACCTTGATGGCAGCTCCAGATTCCTCTTTCCCCGCCACCTCCTCCTTGACAGCCTGCAGCTGGTTGGCAATGTGTGCAATGCTTGGGCGGCTTGCGGTGCGCTCCACGGTGCAGCTCACTGCCAGCTCATCCAGGCGCAGCACAACATCCCAGGGAGTGGCGTTCAAAATGGGGTGCTTGAGGCTATCTGAACCACCCGACGTCATGCACTCGGAAACCCGAGAGAGTGAAAGAGGATGGACAAAACCGCAACTTTGAAAAGGTGAAAATACACATCAATAAGCCTATGAAGCAGATTCTTTCACTTTAATTGGAAAGATGCGATCATGGCAACATGCAACAAGCTGCGTGACTGGAACTTACCCACACCACGGTGTGCTTGGTCTTCCCAGCATCCTCGGATAATGAAGACCGTCCAGTGAGCACCACAAGCATGAGCACACCAAAGCTGCAACGTGCGAGAGGTGGTGACTGCAATGCGATGGTGAGAGCAACTCGAGAGCAGTGCAACGGTGAGATGCATATGACAACTCTATTTTGTGAATTCAAATAACCTGTAGAGGATCTCAATGGTGTTCAGTCAAAAAGGGAAGGATACCGGGTAATCAACCAACTAGGTTAGATGGGTTGACCAAGTAGCATAGTCCCATTACATGCTTGTTCGAGGTGCAAATTTAATGCATAAACTAATATCGACATGGCATCTGACGGGGTACATGCCACATATTGTAATCGTTGGAGTCTCCTTCATTGGAGCCAACTCCTAGAGTCTTCTGGCGCACATAGCACGACCTGTATATGACTCTTGGCTCACCTGTATACATCACTGGCTGTGGTGGCCTTGGACGTCCGATTGTAAACCAGATCCACATAGCCCGATGTTCCCATCATTCGACTTGTGTCCACTGCCGTGCCCTCTTCCACCCTCACCATCCCAAAGACTGCAATCTTGGGCTAGTGGGTGGTTGGATATGTGATATATGAATGCACCATGTTACGAGTGCAATTGAGTGAGCGAGCCAGAATTGCACTATCGAAGAAAAACAGTACATCGAGCGAAGGCATGAGCGAAGAATAAATAGCGAAGCTACAATGGTAACGGTATGAAAATGGGGTGTGCTAAGGGCATAGTGCCAAGGTTGGGAATTGTCGAGGCAGAGGTTCGGAGTGCGGTTTACCAACCAAACCGTGAGGTTGGGTCGCGTCGTCAACAGTGGCGGGAATAGTGGTCGAGGCGAGTGTCGCGAGTGGTAACGGTACACTGTTGAGAGTTGTTGGTAGGAACAGTGGTGTACGCGCTGAGAAGGGACGCGGAGTAAACAAAAGGAAATTTCCTTACACACCAGCACAAAAGAAAGAAAAAAACAATGGTGACAAAATAAACGACATATACTGGTCTTTGGCAGTGAACCAGAATTGCATCGAGACACGAGAACCACGAACGTATGAGTGTGAGCCATATGCAGAACAAAATAAAGAACGAGACTAGATTAGCCAAACTAGAACAACCAATAATTTTGGCATGGCCCTGCCGTTTCCTAGCAATTTTCGTGGCTAGTTCTTGATTGCTTTCCACAGAAACATCTTGTTTTGCAGTGTGAGATGCTGCAACTGCGCTTGCCTGCATGTAGCTAGTGATGAGGATGTTGGCGGGCTTGATGTCGCGATGCACAATGTCAAAGTTGTGGAGGTACTCAAAGCCACGTGCAACTCCAATAAGGATGTCTAGCCGCTGCTTCAGACATAGAGAAAAGGGTGCACCTGCAACGAGACACGGGGTGAGTTTCACAACAAGCATCACCAGGAAGCATGAGTGGCCTACCATGAGTAACATTGTACAAGAGAATGCGATACAAGGACTTGCACACTTACTTGGTCCCATCATGGTTACTTGGTCCTATCATGCGTTACATGGGATGATTCTTGTCCGCCATTTGCATGACCTGGAGGAAGTGGAAACCGGCACACAGGAACAGGAGGAAGATGCCACAAAAGAAAGTGTAGGTTGAGAAGAGAAGGAGGAACAGTGAATTTGCTTGCTCAACTTAAGAAGTTGAATAGTCCTGACAAAAATGGATGCCCAATTTTAGATGCAGCATCTTGCTGTTCAAAATTAATGGAAACCCGAACTCACGTATCCCCATGTTCACCGACCGAGTCTGCAGCCAGCCGTCTCCCCATATGCGGCTCACTCACCTCCCCCTGGAATTCCGCGCCCATAAGCTTGGCGCGCTTCACAGCCCAGGGTGTGGTGGCATCGCGGAGAGGGACGCCCTTGTAGACATCACCGAAGGTACCCGAGCCTAGCAGGTTGTCCTTGGACCAGTCGTTGGTGGCCTTGAGCACCTCCTTTAGCGAGAAATCCGTGCAGTGCGAGGCTGCCAGGCTGGCCCCTGGGTATGGCCGTGAGGTGGGGGGTGAAGGCTGAGGAGGTAATGAGCGAGCCCTCGCCTTGACTTGCCTTGTTGTTATCGAGCATACGCATACAAAATGAGTAGACATGAAGAGGAACCATATTAACAAGGAACATTGACGAAGTGTGGAGGTGGGAGCTGAGCTGAGCACATGGAGCACCAATCCTGCTCCTCCTACATTTTGAGCTTTGCCGCTTCTGGTGCCTGAAGCAGAGCAGCATGGCAGCCAGAAGCAAGAGGAGAACGACCACAGCAGCAACAACAATGCCAACGATGGCTCCCACTAATACACCACCTTCCCCTCCAGATGCTGCTGCTGGTGGTGGTGCTGGTGCTTTTGGTGCTGGTGCTGCTGGTGCTGGTGTTGGTGCTGCTGCTGGTGCTGATGCTGCTGCTGCATGAGCACAACAAAAGCATGTCAGCTGAGCAAAGAGATACGATGTTATTTGAGCAAAGAGAAAGAAGTGCTAATCACAACAGCACTAGCATGGCAGAAGCGGGGGCGATTCAAGTCAACTAGGCACAGGTTCATAACCCCCATTAACCTGTTTTTTCTGGCATGTTGAATAGGTGGTGGCACAATCCTGGTAGAAGGTCATCAGAGGCGATAGGGTTTGGGCGCCGGTGGTGCTATCAGCAGCAGGACAAGTGAGGATGGTACCGGATATGTTGCTGCAGTGGAAGTGGGCAGATTGGCAATGGAGAGAATATGCTTGGGCAACTTGTGTGCGGATGGCTGCATTCACTTATGAAGAAACGTATTCATAATAGCTGTAAACTAGGCATGGCCAAACCAAACCATGGTTCCTTTTGAGGCAAACAGTTTCGTCTGGAACCAAAGTAGAGTTATGTTTTCATCCTTTTCGGTTTGACAAGATCATGTTAGGTCAGTTTGACATGTTCAATCTCTGTTCGGAGAGGAAACTTGAGCGCAGTTCAAATTCAGGTAAGAAACGGGTATTGGAGCTCATTTTTAAGCTCCAAATCCTTCTTAGCCATCTCCTCGTCACTCAGTGAAAGTGGACGTCCGGAACAAGCCTCGTTCACACCACTAAGTGGATGTCCTGTAATTTTAAAATTTCCAATTTCGTCACGCGCCTATTTTTGGAACCCCTACATGGACGAAATCTGACAAATTTGACTCAAACACAAAACAGGTTAAAAAAAAAAAAAAAAAAAAAAAAAAAAAAAAAAAAAAAAAAAAAAAAAAAAAAAAACAAACAAACAACAACCATTTCATTGGAATGAATGTAAAATTCCCAACCAGTTGACGATATAAGAAAAACCATTCCACAATCTAGGTCGACTAGATCTGGATGGAAAATTTCCTGGCCAGATTTAGTCGGCAGTTCGCAACTTCTCATCTCAGGGAATTCTCAGCCAGTCCCCTTCAAGCTTAACAGTAGTCCGTAAGGAGCATTTGTAGTAGGCGTTTCAATGGAGGAACCTTCTAGTAATGCTGCCACCGACATCAGCAATGAGCAATCAATGGGAAGTGTAAGAATCCGATTCCACTCATTCCACCTTCGAACAATACTGCAAAGTTTCCGAGGAGGAAGTAAAAGGGAAGCTTGTGGAGTGTCGTTTTGTCGGAAACCGTTCTTGGTCTTCCCATCTCCCTTACACTCTCACCTTACCCTTCTTCTCCTTCTCTTGCCCCACCTTTAGCCACTACCTGCCCCCTCCTGTGCTCGTGCTCGGGCTGCCCGTGCACGTGTCACTGGACCTTCCTGCTGAGGCCTCTGTCCCTTCACCAGCACTGCATTGGTCTGGTGGTCCAGTGTCCTTTCCCCTCTCTCATTCCCCATCACCAATACTCCTAATCCCCTCACCTCCTTTACCTTCCACCTCTCCGTGCCCAGTCCTACATCTAGTGTGTGTCCTTCTTGCGCAGGTACACCTACTGCCCCTCGGTTGCGGCTGCCTTTGCCTTTCTGCCTCCTTGTTGCTGCCGTTGCTCATACCTGCGTTCGTCTCTCAGCTGCGCTGTGTGCAGGTTCTCCAGGGCTGCCGCCAGAATCTCCTTCATGTACCTTGCCCTTTCTTTGGTTAATGCCACCCGTTTCTTAGGCCCCTCCACTCTCACTGTGTCCGACAACACTCTGGGTGCTCCCACTCTGGCAATATTAGCTCCTTACCGTACAGCAGGCTGTATGGACAGTGACCCTTCAGTGATGCCTGCTGTTCGAACCTGTACACCGCGACAATCCAATGCAACTCCTCATCCCAGTCCCTCTTGCGTTGCTCCCCGTAAGCTCTCAGGTTCCGCTTCAGCGTCTGCACCAACCGTTCTGTGAGGCCGTCACTCTGTGGGTGGTAGTGTGACGTCTGTCTATGAGTGATGTTGGTCTGGTCCAGCAGCGCCTGGAATCCCCCCTTGTACTCACTCCCTTGGTCGGTTAGTACCTCCCCTGGCGCCTCAAGCTACGCTTTGAATGCCTTTGCCACGTGCCTCGAGCTCTTGCTTGGGATGGCGCATACCTCCCGCCTTAGCCCGATGCCCTTTTTCCCACATACGACATAGACCGGAGCATCTGGACAGTCACGTCGGCGGGGCCCTGGCTTGCCACATACATCACAATTCCTGCAGTATTTCCTGACTTTCCCTGCCTGCCCACACCTATAACACGTCCGAGTATCCGTCCTCATTTCCTGTCGCTGCTCTTCCTTTCCCCCCTCCCCTGGTATCATTGCTGCCCCCCTAGTTCGAACACTTCGTCTAGTGTCGCGTCTGCCCCCAGCTCATACACTCGCATTCTTAGTCCACCGCTCAGCCCTTCATCTAATCCTCC